GACAACGGCAGTCAGTTTACGTCGTCGGCGTTCGCACACTTTTGTCGGGAGTATGGCATAACGCATATACGCTCGCCGTCGTTTCATCCACAGTCGAACGGCCAGGCGGAACGCTTTGTTGACACTCTCAAGCGGGCACTTCAGAAGTCCACGGGGAGGGACCAACGGAAGAGATTTTGCAAAGGTTCCTGCTGGCATATCGAGCTGCGCCAAACCCCGGCTCACCTGATGGAGTATCGCCAGCAGACGCGCCGCTCCGAAGGGGGCTCCGAACACCGCATGACACTATCCGGCCACAAACGAAGCAGGCTGGTCACCGCGACACCAGAATGGAGGAACAGTTCAAACGGTATCATGCAGCAACTGCGCGCGCATTCAGCGAAGGCCAGAGAGTGTTGGTTCGTGACTAAGGCGGCAGATGCCCTAAGTGGACCCCAGGACTCATCCTTCGCCGGCGCGGCAAAGTGCTGTACGAGATTCAAGTTGGTCTAGCCAAGTGGATGCGCCACGCGAACCAAATCCGGCCGACAGATGCACCGATCCTGCTCACAGGACCGAGTCGTATGAGTCTAGAAATGCTTCTGGACACTTTTGATCTCGGCACCATCCCAGAAAGTCAATCAGTTGCTTCGTCAGAGGCCCAGCCTGAGCACGGATCACAACCACGATGCTGGGCAAACAGGGTCCGCAAGCCAGGGAGGCCACTGTAAGTAAAACCCCGGCTTCGAAGCTACGTCAACAAACTTCAATGGGGAGGTGTTAGGCAGGAATCCACACGGATCCCACTATACCGCACGTCTTTAGGCGCTGCTACGGCCGAGAGGCCTGGCCCGCTCCAGGCTGGCCCAGAATTCGGGACGCTTGCCGGTCCGACATCAAGACGAGATCTGATTGGTCGACACTCTGGACCCAACAGCCAAGCATGACCCAGTATTGGCCAAATGCCGATTGATAATGGCGCATCCAGAACGCGTCAGAAATTCCAGAAAGTTATAGCCGCTTACGCTATATATACGAAGCGCTGTACAACTGTTCCTGACTTCGTTTTGGGCGTTAATAGACCTTGTGCACCTTTGGTGGTTGTTTTGACGTGAAC